TTAATATATACTCTGCAGAGAGTCAAAGTCAGAGAAGAACCACTGCAACTACAACAACAGAGTTTGGTTACAGAATGGTTTGGTTACAGAATAACTTTGCTTTGTTCCTGAATATATAATTTGTTCTAAGCAATTCGCTTGAATTAAGGAATTAATAAATCACTTATTTGTTAAGACTGGTGTAATTTTGGTTTGCTGGTGCCAGCAATCGAATCGAATGCAAATGTTTTAATACTGGTATAGGTCTATATTTTGTTATCATTTTAAATTGTCTGCATAGAAAAAATACTACTGCAATTTTAGTTAATATTATAGTGTTAAAGCATACTATAAAGTGTCTTCTACTGTATATAAAAAGTATTCTCTATAACTCTTTGTTACTGAATGGTCCAGCATTGTGTTAACTATACTGAACTGCAAAACTAATAAATACTGTAAAATATTTTTCTACAGTTTTTACGACAACTAGACTATAGGTATACTGTATATAGCTGTAGAAAACTAGTACAGCAGGGTTCTTTATATATCTAAAGCTGTATCACAACAACAAAAATAATTATGACAACACATTTATTTAACTTTCTTATAGTATGGGTCAAAAGCATTCATTTTAAATGACTTATGATTTAATTAATTGATTACACTGCTGAAAAAAATCCAGCTTGGTTGGCTGGTCGACTAACCTGGTTAGAGAGGGGTTACAGCCATTTCCAGCCTGATGTTAGGTGGTAAAACCAGGCAGGTCAAGCTGTTTTTAGCTGGTCAAACCTCTAAAACCAGACTGGTCGACCAACTAAAACCAGCCAACAAGCTTAGTTAAACAGCTATAAGATTTTACTACAAAACAACACCATGAGTTTTGTAGTTGAAATAATAACTCAGAACTAAAATACACTATGGTTTCGTTATACTGCTAACCATAGAAAAACTGGTCAAAGAAATATGGTACTAAGTTAAGAATTTGCACAAACGGCGACACAACCTAAGAAGTAGCCCCTAAAGTATTAAATATATTTTAAATTTTATTAAGAGTAAAACTGAAAAACACTCTTTAGTTATATATATAGCCTACCTTTTTTCATCGTGAGCTGCAAGCCCATAGCGTCCTCTGTTTGGTTTGAAAAGGCCATGAGGCACAGACCTACAAGTGGGGGAAAAAACTAAATATTCCTCAGAAATGTTAAATAATAAATAAAAGTGTATTTCTCACTTCACGGTTTGTTTTTTACAAAGCTGGACTGCCAGATACACGTAGCCTCTCAAAATTCCCCATAGTTTTACAACAAATAAAACACTTGGTAACCACAAATTCATCAAAGATTACTGCACTGTGTAATGTGTAGTGAAACTGAGCAATGCTAACTTTCTTTGAGTTTACATTTAGTTAACAAAACTTCTATAAATTTAAAAGTTATACGAGTTATCCCATAATCTAGTATCAGAGGCATTGTAAAGACTCGCAGGCTTATTCAATTGCGTTAAATTTAATAAGTAGTCTATAAAGTGCGAAATTACCTTACCTGTAGACAATTGGAAGAGATTTTCAGCCGAAAAGGTGGTTTATTACGCCCTCTTTTGGTAGTATCTGTAACGTTTTTATACTGACACAGACTGTCTTACTTCGTACTTTTGCCTGACGAGATAAAAAACACAGAAGCACTGGCTGGTCTGAGGATAAACACAGCAAGTTTGAGATACATGCTCTGACACACAAATTGGATTGTCATGTTTTCCTGTTTTGTTTTTCAGCAGAGGGCAAGCACACAGCACAAATAAAAAATCTTTAATGCAGTTTATTTGTATATCACTTTACAATTCACTGCACATGAGACATATGACAATGTGTCTAAATCCATGGCACATTAAACAGGCAGTTTGTGCTCTGATAAACATTTCCATCAAACACGGAAAGAAAGTCATCCTTGTAGATTGTGACGTCATGAAATCCATGCCAAAAACACAAGGTTATGTGGTGCAACAGGATGAAAACAAACAAATACCAAATCAAACTGGCAGGTGTTTGAGGCATTCATTAAAACATGAACAATTGCCTTGTGAAGTCACTCTGTTAAGACATCTCAAGCTATTGTGCGATAACAGGAATGTCTCTACTACTTAAACTAAGACTTAGCAATGTATGTAGTGTATTTACAAAAGATACTGCTCCAAAATACATCTTAATGCATATAATTAGCTGATAATATAGCATGCTGCGAAATCAGCTGTAACGTAATGAGGCATAACAATCTTAAAACCGACATCAAAACACATCCCTTTATATACGAGCGGACAAATTCATTTCTCACGTCAACATTTCTGCAACAGTATTTATATCCAAAATGTAAAAGTGCAAAATGTATCCTGTGTAGTTGCATACATTGTGTTTTGAAACAAAGGACAAAAAAAACAACTATTTTTAAAGATCTGAAATGCTACTCAGATGGAAATGCGATAAAATGTCAACATGGCTCATAACCATAACACTAAGCCCAAGCATCAGTTGATTTAGGCACCGAAAATGGCAGAGAAACTAATAAATCTGCCTGTGGATCACTATTTCAAGAACTGTCACGGATTTAAAAAACAAACAGTCTCCAGCCAAAATGGATGAGTACAGCACATTTATAAACAGAGAGGCCATCAATCTACCTCTGTTCCTGAATTTGATAAAGCAGTTTTAGCTGATGCACTCAACAAGCAGGTTATATGACCAGTCATACAGCAGAAAAAGGGAGCATCGGCAGAAAATCACTCAGCTCAATGAGTAGTGCAAGCTTTTCCAAAAGGCACTGGAGTGGACTAGAAAATATCAATCATCTATAAAGTCAACAAGCTTAAAGAAACAAAATTGATGATGAACACAGTCTACAGTTCAAGACAGACAAACACTTAAAATCAATTGACATACAGAGATATTGCAGTGAAAAGGATAGATCATGCAAAAAATAAATAAAGTATGACGTTAATCTCAGCCCAGATCAGATTTTTCCAGTAGAACATTAAATAAATTTTAGCTGAAACCTTGATTTAAAATAAAGCACTGGCACTTAAAGAGTCAAAATAACATATAGACAACATATAAAGTAGTGTAAGAAATGAGTCTGTTTTGACCCAACTTCCACTCTAAATGGTTGATTGATGCTCATTTCCGAAAAGGGCTGACTTATGAGAAAAAAGAGAATCTCTGCATTGTTTGAAGTGACTACATCTCGACCAAATGCTACCAATTGTAGAATGGGGATGGGTGTGGTGCACAGAGAACCAATTCACCAATAGCGTTGAAACTGCATTAACATAGAGAGATAGAGAGAACAGCTGGGTCAACAGCCAAGGAGCAACTTCATTAACATCTAAAGGCAAGTCTAAAAGGCAACATCTAAAACACTATAAAGGTTTGAGTCTAAGCAGTTTTAGGGTTGGATTCACTCCGGTGAACCCAAGGTACAGTTGTGTATTTTGAGACTGCTATGCTGAATAAACATCTTTATTGAGATTTTCTTCGTCACCATTTTTTCTAACAGTAGTGTTGTCACAGTACTGGAATTCGATACCAATCGTTACTGGAATTTTAAAAATGTCCACCAACATTTGAGCGCTGTTGAGCATGTTCTTAAACAGCCCTGATTTGCCATTGTGTTCATTTGTTCAATAGAAATGACTGTGATTGGCTGTGAAGGTCATCAGTTCACCAAACTCACCGCTGTTTACAGAGTGTAATCACAGATACAGAGACACTGGAGCATTTTAAAGTTGTAAAGATTAGCTGGACGAGCAATCCACTGATGAATAAACTGATCTTCACAGCTTTAAAACGCTCCAGTGTCCATGTATCTGTGGTTACACTCAGTAAATTGCGGTGAGTTCGGTGGACTGATGATCTTTACGGCCAATCACAGTCAGGACCGGAGCAAGCTAAACTGGTTCTCTAGGCAAACGACAATCACGTACCCCTCATTCTGAAAGTGAAAACGAAAGTGACCAATTCACAAAGTGAAGACCAGAGGTGGGGGTTGTGTTGCGGACACCGGCCTCATTATTCTGTGGACTCTATGGACACGCCGGCCCTGATCATAGTAATTTCTGTTAAGAATGTGTCAACAGCGCTCACATGTTAGCGGGAAATGGATGTTTTTAACATGTCAGTACTGATTAGTATCGAATTCCAATATCATGACAACACTAACGAAGGCAAAACACAATTAATTGAACATCCAGGGGTGCCCAAACTTGGTTCTGGAGGGCCGGTGTCCTGCATATTTTAGTTCCAACCCTGATTAAACACACCTGAACCAGCTAGTCAAGATCTTTCTAGGTATACTAAAACTTCCAGGCAAGTGTGTTGAAGGAAGTTGGAGATAAACTATCCAAGACACCAGCCCTCCAGGACTGAATTTGGACATCCCTGCTGTAGGCTGCTAGAATGGGTGAAGAATAAAAACAAAAGTTGTAAATAATTTCCAGTTTCTTGCACAAAACCGAACCATGAAAACTCGTTTATCATGTTTATCACCATGAGCCACATGTTAATTTTGTTTAGCCTGAATGTTTTTTAATCTCAAAGTGCTGGTAGCTGTATGTTTGCATTTTAGGATTCCCCAAGTATTAACGTTCTACTGAAGAAATGAAAAAGTCAAGTCACCTACATCTTGTATAACTTCTGAGTAAATTAACCGCAATTTGTAATTTTTGGGTGAACTATCCTCTCAAAACCTGTGTCGTGTTAAAGGCACCTAGTTTTAAAAAGATCAAGCAACCCATAGGAAAAAAGAGTAGAAGGTAAATACAATAAAAATACATTCTAAACCATAGTGTGTTTTTTTTCTGGTGATGTTGAAACCTGATAAAATCTGAAGGCACAGAAATATCCCTTAATGCCTTGCATGCATTTCTGACACGTTTTTGGCATATGATCAACAATATGCTTTCATATGCTTGAAAGTGTCAAACTGTATGTGTTATTAGTAATACATGACATTTGAGGTGAACACAAAACCAAAAACTGGCTGGTAGAGAAATATATTAATTTTCAAAAAGCACAGTATATGAGGTTGCTGCATATTTTGGTGTACATGCACGCTTCAGTGATAGCTGCAAACTGTTCCTCCAGACCCTGCCTCTCCTCCAACAGAGCTCGGATTGTTCTTTCACACCTCTTCGTAGAAGGCCATCTGAGCCATGTAGGCAGAGTTTCTCTGCAAGACACATAAACGGCAGAATAACTAGATTGTTGCAGTCTTTTGAGGAATGTGAACTATTTCATGAAAAGAATTTGAAAGAAAAGAAAAATAAACTTTTTGGTTCAGCACACTTTTACCAAGTAGCCCAATTTCTAAATCCATTAATTATTTGAACTACTGAAATATTTATTACACATTAAATATTAATAAATGTATTGTGAATAAGTAAATCAATAAAAAAAAATACACTACCGGTCAAAAGTTTGGGGTCAGTTTTGTTTTGTTTATTCATGTTTTTCGTTTTTTAATTGTTCTGTTCATCAAGGCGGCATTTATTAAATGTAAAAAAAAAATTGTTAGTTATTAAATATATATTTATTACTTACTGTATGTAGTTTCAAATGAAATGATCTCTCTAGTCATTATTGCTTTTATTACTATTAGCATTATTAATAATAATATTAGTAATGATAATAACAATAATAATAATTAACACTAGAGTGATTTCTGAAGAAACTGGAGCAATGAGGCAAAAAAATCATCTGTAAAATCAATGGAAAAAAATGTTAAATTATAAACTACTTTTGTACAGTTATTTTATAGTGCAATAACATTTCACATTTTACATTTTGTACTGTATTTTTAACTAAATAAATACAGCCTTGGAGAGCAGGAGAAGCTTATTTTAAAACATTTAAAAATCCTACTGACCCCAAACGGTAGTGTAGGTTGTATTGTATTGAACAAAATGCATATTTAGTGAGCATAATAGAAACTACAAAACAAAATCCTGGTTTGTAGTGTGCTGCCACTTTTGATTAATTTAAAATTTTCTTAAAAAGACTGCTTGAATGGTTGTTTTAGTGAAAAATATTTATAATATAGTATAGTATACGTACAGTGTAGTATAGTAGAGTATAGTATAGTATAGTATAGTATAGTATAGTATAGTATAGTATAGTATAGGGCGATGTAGTGGCGCAGTAGGTAGTGGGTTGTTGGTTCGAGCCTCAGCTGGGTCAGTTGGCGTTTCAATGTGGAATTTGCATGTTCTCCGTGTTCATGTGGGGTTTCCTACAGGTGCTCTGGTTTCCCCCAGACATGCGGTACAGGTGAATTGGGTAGGCTAGATTGTCCGTAGTGTGTGAATGAGTGTGTGTGGATGGATGTTTCCCAGAGATGGGTTGCGGCTGAAAGGGCATCCGCTGCGTAAAAACATTCCGCTGTGGCAACCCCAGATTAATAAAGGGGCTAAGCCGAAAAGAAAAATGAATGAATGAGTATAGTCAACAAAGTACAATAGTATATAGTGTAGTATAATAGTTGTTTTCATACAATTATTGCTTTTAAACCAATTATACTTAATTAATTCAAGAACTGGACTGATCCAATTCTGTTCCTGAGTCAACAACTCACTGATGAGTCTCCAGGTATTGAATCACAAATCTGTCTCAAAATAAACTCAAAGGCAGAAATCTTAAGAGCTTGAGTGCCCACGACAGGTTTTAATGTGTATTATTGATGTATTAAAACTTTAAATTATTAATGATAAATTGTACAGTATCCTGTATCTCTTATTGTTTATTTCATTTGAGCATTCATATGGTCTAAAAGCTGCTTTCTCATCAAAGACATTTTGCTTTTCAACATTTCAAGTCAAATCAAAACCTGATGGCCATTTATTTTCATATTTTATAATGTGGAAAAGTAGACATGCACTAAGCAGGATAAAGTACATGTTCTTACATTGCTGGGTGGGATAAAAGGCGGTTCTGCATAACTTCTGAGATTGTAAACGCCAGCCTGCTGCTGTTCTTCCAGCTTCAGGGATTCAATCTCTGACTTGAGCTCCTTCAGCTGGTCTTGAAGATGTTTGCTCTTCTCCATATACTCGAGCCTGACATAAACAAACACAAGAAAACCTATAGTATGTTCAGCTTAAATTCAGACAATCAAATTAAAAAAACCTGTTCAAGTTCATACCGTTCTCTCTCAATCTCCATCGAAAGTCTCTTCATGTCCGAGTCTTTAAAGTCCATTTGGATGGGGTTGCCCATCTCTATTGCCATTTCTGGACTCTCTGGTCCAGCAGGTGGAGGAGGGTTGGAGTATGCTGCTATTAACTGAGAACAGATCACATGTTTTAAAATGACAATGCAGGCAATAAACAGAATAGTAAATTAGTTACAAATTGTTGATTACAAATCCTTACAGGGTATGTTGTTTTGGTGATTTCTAGAAGTTTCTGTTTTGCCCTCCGTTCTGCATCTTTAGCTTCATTCAGATCTTGTTTAAGGTGGTCTGCCTCTTTTAGCCTAAAGGTCACAAAAAAACAAAAAACAAGCAAAAATTAAAATGAAAAATTATAAGCTCTTTGGAAATCAGTGGTGAATTATGGCACAGTGTGGAGAAACATTTTAGCATTTTTTTTAAAGAAAATTTAATTTTGAGTTTGTGCGTTTAAACCTTTTTAGTCAAGATAACCCTAGGGCGCCTTTAGTATTCAGCAACAATCAAAGCCTGCAAGCTAATTTTTTAAAATAGTTTTATTACTATTTATAATAATATGAGTAAACACATAATTTAATGATCAAAATTTTGTTACAAAGCCCTTAAAATAACCAGGGTTCTATACCAAGACTAAACAAATTCAGAATTATTGCATGAGTTTTGAGTTTGACAAAGCTAAACCAGTGCAATCAGGCCTTTTCAATACCTGACACTAATCTTTGTCTGTTAACTCAGGCTTTGATCCTGAGGCCAAGAGCATGTGTACATGAAGGCTGGACATCAGCAGTAAACAGCCAGTCACATGCCTTGAAACATAAAGATGCTGTGACTGACTTCTCGTGAGAGAGGCAAAGATTAAATAGCTTAAAATACAAATAATTTAAAAGCATTAATACAGCAAGATGAAAAGAGCTGTCCATAAAAGAAGACCGCTAAAATAAATAGCTAGCATTATTGCTGCAAGTGTAGTAGTTTAGTCTAATTTAGCTTATACAGTATAGCTGACAAAGAGACTCAAAAACCTAAGCTCATGTGTAATCATTTTTAAAGCTTTAGCTAATGATTCAAAAATAAGGCTGTCATGTTGCAAATATTTGTATTTATTAACAATGTAATAATTGTGTAAATTATCTATAATAATTACAATAAATATTCTTTGCTAAAATTAATTTTATTTATAAAAATGTTTTTGATATATAGTGATCTATAATTTGGAGCAGGTGAAACTGGGGGAGTGTTTTTATCGAGTCAGAATTATGTTATGTCCAAAACATGTCCTCCACCAGAGAAGGTCATCCATGCCATGTAAGATGTCATAGCAATAAAGAGTGAATAAAGCCTAGCTAACTTTGTGGTACCTGAACCCAAGGACGGATGCAAACTAAATTGAAACTTAATTGGCTAAACAGCTAATCTGGCTTCATGGTACGGGCCCCAGCTAAACAAGTATGTACGTGTACATATAATTGTACAAATAAAACCTGACTCTACATTCATATAAAATTGATTCATGGTTCATAAAGAATTGACACATACATGTTCACTGGCGTTTCAATTTGAAACTTTCCAATTAAAAGGTGTGATTATTAATTTAAAGGGGAGATAATCTTGTTAATCTTCAAACACAAATGAAAATATTATTTCAAAAACAGATCTACCCCTCCATTTCAAGTCAGATCTAAAATACTCAACCCAATACTGTGACACGTCAAAATGTTCATAGAGGGATCAAAAATTGAAATTGGTTTAATCCAAGTCTTTGAAGATATTTTATGAACATTAATCAAGCATTAAAAAGGGTTTCTACAGGTTTCACAAAATCGAATTTAAGACTTTAAGACCTTTTTAAAACCATTATGAATTAAATTTCAGCCTTCATACAGGGTTGAACACCAAGGATTTAAGACGTTTACTTGCAAAAAAGATCATCCAAAAAATACGAGTTATTTCCTTCATTTATTCATTCATTAATTTTCTTTTTGACTTCATCTATTTATTAATCAACAGAACAACAAAATATCGCAATGTTAGATTTTTCCAATATCGTGCAGCCCTATTATGGATCACAGTAACATTTCATTTTTGTAAATAAATTATGTAAATGGCATTACTTGTAAGCAGTTACATAAAATAATTAAACTATTATGATAAAAAGAGTTTAAAATAACCCTTTTTTTTTTTTTTTAAAAAGTGTAGTTAAAAAAATTTAATAAAAAGTTTTACTGAAATGATTGTTGGTGATTGTATGGGTTTTGGCCAGATTTGGTAGCAATGCATGAACAAAGGAAATTTAAGACCTGTTTAAAAAAGATTTAAGACCAACAACACAATATTTCAGTAAATTTAAGACTTTTTAAGGCGTAAAGTTTGGATTTAGAGATTTAACACATTTTAAGACTTAAGACCCAGCAGAAACCCTGTTTAAATGAATATAGAAAAATCAAGATATAAATGAAGACCTACAAGATAATATTCCAGTGAATTTAAGACTTTTTAAGGCTTAAAATTTAGTTTTTGCAATTTAAGACTTTTAAAAAGCCTGCAGAAACCCTGTTAAATGTAAATAAATGTCTAAAAAAAATTATAAATCAATGTGTCTCTTCAAAAGATATTGAAAAAAACGACTTGATTTGTTTTATTGAACTTAGATGTTTTTGCTTTTGATTCATATGGACACATTTTATCTATGTTTTGACACATTAAAGTTTTGAGTAAACAGGTTTTCAATGAAAAAGAATGTTCTGTTCTCTCAGATATCTGTGCTTCAAAGATGAACAAAAATCATATGGGTTTGTGATGACATGAGAGTGAGGAAATGCTGACATAACTGGCAATTTTTGCTGATTTAACACCCTTTATCAAGATTATTATTGATACAAATTTTTCTCTAGTACTGATATCAATGGCCTACCTCCTCTCTGACTGCTCAACAAGCTTAACGGCCAGTTGTTCTGCTTCTCTCATCTTTTGCTCCATCAGCCTCTTCTCTTCTTTGGTTTTAAGAGCCGTGACCTCCAGCCTCTGCCTCTCCTGTTCAGCCTCAGCCGCTTTGTGGGCCAGCAGCTTGGCCTCCTCCTCAGCGATCTGGGCTTTCTCCGCCAGAAGATCGGCTGTTTCCTCAGAGCGCAGCTGCAGAAAGGAAAAAGCGATAAGAAAGACTTACAGACTCAAGCACAGGGAGTTTCACAACCTGACTGGAATTCTAATGGGAGCCCAGGACAATGGTTTAGACCTCAATATGTCTGCAGTTCATCTCAAATTTACGTCTGGACCACATACTTCTATACTTCAGGGCCTTTGAGGACATAAAACACAAGCTGGCGGGGGAAAGAAAGCTATTTGGCATCGCTCAATTTCAATCTTGGCAAAATCCTCACTAGAGCTTCATTGGCCATTCGAGCCTCGTCTTGCAGCTGAAACATACGCCGCTCCATCTCTTCTTTCGCTCGCTCTGCTTCCTCTCTCATCTGCTTCTCCCGTGCAAGAATCTGACGTTCAACCTAGACACACAGCATAAATCAAAGGCAGACATTAGAAAAAAGAGAATGCTGAATGAGAAACATTTTAATATAAATCTTCAAAATGATTTTTAGTCTTAGTCTTTTGAATAAAATTCCAATTTAGTTTTAGGCATATTTTAGTCTTCTGAATCATTTTAGTTTTAGTCTAGTTTTAGTTTTAATTTATAATATTTAGGTTGACTAAATCTACTCAAGATAGATTTGATCAAATACATTTGGTTTAATTTAAGTGTGATTGTAGCTACCCGCAGGTTATTAAACAGTCCACGCTTCCCAAATACAGATAGCCATGCATTTTATTTATTGAACATTGTGAAAACTAAAAAGATAAACAAACAAACCAAATGTTTCACACAATCACAATCAAAATAAACAAATAATAAACAAAATGTTTACCGTTATAATGTTTACCGTGTTGGCCTGATAACCAGCAGTGGAATAATCAGGAGCATTTAACATGTGTCTGCATTGAGATCTCACTATGCTGTCCATACCAACTCTTGCAGGGTACATCAATCAAAGAGGATCGTGTGACCTCTGACTCAAGCCAACCGGAAACAAGGAAGTTTATAAAATAAACAAACTAATACACTTTATTTTTTTTAATTACACTAATTGTTCTGTAAATCTGTACTGTTTATTTATGCTCAATATATGTTGTCACAAATACAATATATTTACAATATACTCCTTTTATTCAAAGCTGAATTTTCACAGCTTCTTAATACCTTTGAAATAAAAAAAATTGTTTCAGGACTCTTTAAAACAAGTATTAATTGTAAAATAAATGGTACTGGCCAAAATAACATCTTTAACAAATGAAACATGTACTGCATGATAGGGCTGTGCAATAAAGACAAAATAATCATATTGCGATTTTTTTGAACGAATATTGTGATTGCGATTTTATTTGTGATTTTGGCAACTGTTTTTGCTTTTGCAAACAAGCAACATACATACATTCTATATGTATTCAGTGCACAATATTTGCTTAACAAAACATAACATAGTATTAAGTTTAATAAACAAAACTGTCGTAAAATTGTCTTTAAAACAGACAACATAAAATAAACTTGTTGAAATACACCTGCTCAATTTAATTCATCCTTATTTCTATAGTGCTTTTACAATGTAGATTGTGTCAAAGCAGCTTTACATAGAAGATTATAGTAAATTTAAACTGTGTCAGTTCAGTTTTCAGAGTTGAAGCTCAGTTTAGTTCATTTCAGTGTGATTTTCACTGTTGAAAGTCCAAACACTGAAGAGCAAATCCATCTTATGCGCAGCTCCAGAAGTCCTGAACCATGCAAGCCAGTGACGACAACGGCGAGGAATAAACTTCACCAATTGGAGAAAGTGAAAGAAAAACAACTCTGAGAGAAACCAGGCTCAGTTGGGTATGACCATTTCTCCAATGGCCAAACGTTTTGTGCAGAGCTGCAGTCTAGGCACCAGAGGTTGGAGAACGCTGGTCATCAATCAAGGAGAAACTGCAGGTGGGAGAGGTCACTGGCTGGCGTACATGCTGGCCCTTCAAGATCAATTCAAGGACTCGTCTGTCACTGGGGTCTTACAGGAATCAGTCTCATGCTCTTCACTCCTCCATGACCACCACAGCAGCTGGTGATACAGCCTGGTCCAGGATTATGGAAACCTCGGGAATAACTTGTTGCTCTTCACAAAGCATGATGGTAAAGCTTCTTTAAAACCTTCAGATATATTTTCTCTAGTGTGGTCTTCTTGGAAGAATGCTGTTTGCAAACAACCACTTTTCATTTCAAAGTTATCATTAAAATAGTGGACCGTTAAATAAAGTATTTCACCTACTTGAGCTTGTGTTCAACGCCCGCCATACATTTCGGAAATAGCAAATCGTGTGAAATGAGTGCGAGATGGCAGCTGGTATCTTTTGTCAAGCGTTTGTATTAGTTTTCGGAAGCTGTCTTTACTGACAATGTGCGCAGGCATGATATCTTTGCATATATGATAGGTGATAGCGTCGTTAATTTCTTTGTGCCGTTTTGATCCTTTCTCATAAGCCATGGCGCTTGCAAATGCTTGAACAATGGATACTTGTACAATCTGTTGTGCTTTTCTTTGTTTCATTGGATTTTGTCGACATGCATTGATCATGCAGTTTTTTATGACGCTGTTTTAAATGTTAGAACAGTCTTGCAAATTACCTTGCTCTGTGACACATCCTCTCTTCTGAATCCAAAATACTCCCAATTGACTGACGTTGATTTTTTTTTGCCACCAAATTATTTTTACTTTGACCTGCATCCATATTTTATGTTCTGTCCTCCCGCTACTCTATTCGGTTCCCCACTCAACTTTGTTGTGCACAGAGTGTGCTGGTTAACATCTTTCTCCTGCTCAGCTTATCTGTGATTGTATGCGTCAGCTCTATTTGGTTAAAATTAAAGTCGTGCAAACAAGAACATTTTCTGGATAAAAAGAAGTAAATTTTAAAGTAAAAAGATAAAAATCGCAGCCTAATACGGTTTAGAAATACCATGTGCTTATATTGCGTTTTTTTCACGATTATGATTAATTGAACAGCCCTACTGCATAAGTTATATTTTAATGTTTAAACAAATAAATGTTTACTATATTTCATTGTATATCTGCATAAACATTAAATTCATAAAGAAAATAATTAATTTGGAGTAACACCACTATGGTTAACATATGTAGAATGGAAGAAAATTACCTTCTTCCTAGCTTTCTCCTCTTTGGCCTGAGCCTTCATCTGCTGCACTTCTATTGAATCCACCTTCCTCCTCCTCATGAACAGGTCATGGTTCCCAATACACAGCTGTAAGATCTAAAATATACAGTAAAAAATTTATGTGAGCAACTACTTGAATATACTTTATTACACAAATACTCATAGAAGTAGCTCACCAGTTTGTTAACTCTAAGCTGGGATGAGTAGAATTTAAACACTTCCTTTTTCTTGTCCAGTGGTTTGATAGTAAACTGAGAATAGACAAATACAGAATGTTTAAATATTTTTGTGAGAGTTCTGTAAAATTATTTGCATATTTTGTGTTTAAAAAAAGAGGTAATCTTTCAACCTCTTTCTCGCTGTAGGAGATGTTTCGGATTCCACTCCAGGGGAAGGATTTGTTAGGGCTCAGCTTGTTGTTGGGGTTGTAAATGTGAAGACCCTGAGCATCAACTCCAAGAAGAAGCTCTGTGTCCCTCTTATTTTGCTGTGAAACATCATGGTGGGACAGTTTGAATTGTACATTAGAGTCAGAAATCAACCATGTTGTGGAAAAAAAAATGGCTTCACAATGTCATAAAAGGTCAAATTAGACAATATCTATTATCAAAATGTAAAAAATAAAGAAAATATTAAACAATTATAAATATTAAATCTAAATATATATATTAGTGGTCCTTCACTATAATGCGGTTCACTTTTTGCGACCTCGCAGTTTCGCAGATTTTTTCACATGTTTTTTTTCTACAGTGCCTGACTGGCTGTAGACCGTTGCCAATCAACATTCTCCGTGCCATGTCTTCTGTACAGTACAGATCGCTAAAGGTGTGACTCTGAAGTGCTGTACAGTATGCAAGCTTTCTCCCCACAATATCAATGAAACGTTCTGCACCATCAAAGGCACTTGTGGTAGCACTCAAAAAGCAGAGGAAGATGCTAACCATTTCACAAAAAGTTAAACTTCTGGACATGCTAAAGAAAGGTAGATGTTACGTGACGGCAGGGCACCATTATGGAATAAATAAGTGAAGATCAGATGGTTTTGATCTTTGGTTTTATTCTACAATACTAGACTTATTTTTCTACAAAGGTTTGAACTTTGAGTGTTTAAACAACAGAAAAAAGTGTGAAAATATTATGCTTGTCCGAGAAAAGTGTATAAAGTGTGTAGTGATGGGGTTTTTTAGCCTTATAACATCTATATTTGTAAAAATAAAGCTGACAACTTAACCGATTTCACCTAGTGCGAGTTATTTTTAAAACAATGTAATGTAAATGTACATTGTGATTAGATGGTTGTAATCCCTAATATACTTAATTCTGGTTCATTCATTACAATGGATCTCCAAATCTGTTCACGTGATTAGAAATCAGGCTTGATCAGGCAAATTCAGACTCGATCGGAATCCGACATTACCTCCGGATCAGCAACGTGTGCGGTGTGACATCACTTTGTTGCAGAGACGCTACTGGTAAAATGGCGGAAAACTAGAACACAGAAGCTGCTTAAAACGGACAGGGCAGGTATGTCTGCAGGCTGAAGGTATTAAAAGGTTGATGAGACAGCCTCAAACCTGACAAGGTAGAGATGTTAGTTTTCATTAAAAAAACATTCATCTCCTTCTGTGAAACTTACTACTGTGATGACAGTTAGAGTTAAGAGTGCAGTTCCTAAAAGCAAATTACTGATTTCGCAAACACTTTGGCACTTTTATTTATTTTTTGTTTACAAATCTGCCGGGTATTTTAAGTTGAGGTGCTATTTTTTTTTTTTTTTTTACATGTGATTGTTTTTATATTTACTGTTGCACTTAAGTCCAAAGGTGAAGAATTCATGTTATTTATTAATTGATTGTTCAAACTACTTTCCCATAGATGGGTTGCAGCTGGAAGGGCATCCGCTGCGTAAAAACTTGCTGGATAAGCTGGCGGTTCATTCCGCTGTGGCGACCCCGGATTAATAAAGGGACTAAGCCGACAAGAAAATGAATGAATGAATGAATGAATGAATGAATGAATGAATGAATGAATGAATGTTCAAACTACCTCACATAAGTGCTCTGTTTGTTAACAGAATTGTTGAATGTTAAAATAAGGTGAATTAAATAAAAAATAAAAAAAACATCCTGGATCTGTTTCTTCACTCATCTTTATTTTTTTAATGTATTATAGAAGCATCGGATCGGGTTTCAGTATCGCTATATGTTCAAAATCAAATGACTCGGGGGCAAAAAAAAATAGGGAAATCCCTATTCATAACTATATGGAAAAATGGACTACTGAAAATTCAATTTCAAGCCAACTTTAAAAAATAAAAAAATACTTACTGTAATCGAAAAGTAGCTAACTCCATACATGTCTAGATCCTGGGCTATTTTAAGATATTCCATCTCAGCCTCGTCCCTACAAACAAAGCTCAATTGTAGTTCATCTTTCATGAGGAAGGTGGTTTAGACACACACACACACACACACACACACACACACACACACACACACAAACAGCAGCAGGACGTGCACAGTTTTACCTTGTGATGTTTCTGTGTTCAGCATACCAAGCGGTTATCTTCTCCTCCCACATGTCTGGTGTCATCTGATACTGCATCAACACCTGCACAATAAAGCACACAGATCACATAAACCATCTTAAAGAATGCAAATGTTGGCTTATTTTCAAGTAGTCAAGTAGAGCCATTACTCACTCTTTTGGGCAAGAGTTCATCTTGAGCTAAGAAACCTGGTTTGTGAAAGTTTGGATCGTAGTCCCCGTACTGCAGAAAGAATGTCATATTTAATAAAACGATATACATTGAGTGTGTCCCTTCATAAAACACTGATACGGAGACCTACCTTGGCTTGAACAGCATATGAGGCTAAAAGAACGGAGGCTTCTGGAGAACAAAATATCTCCTCATCTAGTATCTGCTTTTTAACCTTTGTAAAAAAACAGAAGGGATTTTAATCTCAAGAATTTGGCCTGAAGAAAATAAGATTATTCATTCCCCCAAATGAGGTTTCTGTACAGCGGAAAAGACCATGATGGAGAGCAATCATGCCAAATTCACAAGAACAACTCCCACATACTTGTAAGAAGAAGAGGTGCTGAGTAATTTCCTGAACGAGCTCGTCCTCAACTTTTTCTGGGAAGAATTTAGCAAGAAAGTGAAATGTTATCGGAGAGTCCTTTGGAACCTCTTGATCCAAAACCTAGATGGATTTAAAAAGTCAACAAATATGTTAGGGGCCAAACAACATCAAAATAAATTTCTCCTGAAGTCAAACCAAGGTGTTATGAAAATCAAAGGTCAGTCTGTAATAGAAACTGTATGCACCAACACCACGAAACTTGACTGCCATGAACTTGGTTAGTACTGTTTTTCTAGGATTGTGGATTAATTTAGTAAATTACGTTCAGTTTTTAATACAGACCAACAATTCAATTTGCTTTACAAGATTTCAATGTCACTATTCCCTCTTGCCTATATTTCACTTGGTTGTACTAATTGATCTTGAAGTGTACATATCCACTGCACATACATGTATACATGTTTTTTATCTATCTGCATACTTCTGATTATTAATAGCAACCTGTACATAAATTCATCTATTGTAAATCTCTGTTCACAGTTAATACAATCTGTTTATAATGTTCATAGTACATCCATATGTAAATATCACCATAGTTTTTCTATAATTGCACTTTATAACCTATATCCTGCACTTGATGCTATGGCACTCTTGGTTAGGCCAAAACTGAATTTTGTTACCTTGTACTTGTAAATTTGTTATGACAATAAAGCTGAATCTAATCTAATCTATTTTGTAACTAATTATTTGTGTTATAATTAACACCAAGAAGCAGTTTGAGCAGAAATTAAATTGTATTCAATGTTACACTGCACTTAAAAAGTCAGCTACATTGTGGATAACCTAAAATGGGGAGAACTTTAACAACATATTTGTATTTTGGGTACTTGTTCATGCTTAATGTCTTCATGGGTCACATAAATCTAAAAACCCATGGTCTGAACGAAGAACCCAGATGGGTTTTGTGCCTTGGACACAGGTTAGGTTAGTAAGTTAGTAGCCTCAGGTCTCGGTTAATTTAACATTTAGTGTGCTTTTGAAAATGCACCCAATAAGAAGGCCCATGCGGAAACTGCGCGTGCAAAAATCCATCAAGCCTATTTATTTACTTCTGTAAATGTGTGTAAATTTATATTCATTCAGTTTTTAAATTAATTTCAGTAATATTATTGACTAATATGAAAATTTTTATATGATTTTTAACTATTTAATTTGTAAAGTAATAATTGTCTTTTAGTAGATCAGTTATCAGAGTTGCTTTGCTTACCAAATAAGTGGATCTAATTACATTTGCACTGTAAACGTTAAATAAAAGTTAAAATGGTAATATTTAAAGTTTTATTTTTAAGTTTTAATATTAAGTTTTTAGTTACGATACTACCAAAATTATTTCACATAAATCTGCTAATTTTTCATTACAAAATGCTGCGTAGAAATAGCAAACAATGTCTGAACATTCTCGCTGGTACTACCAAAAAGACATGAAAACTTATAGGATGTGATCATCATAACTGAGTGATAAGTAAATGAGCTTTAAGAATTTCAGCAATCAGCATGTACTTGACCAATTAGACTACTGGTATTAAATTTTTAAGAAACTTATAAAAAAATGGAAGAAGCATTTGAAACCTCAAACAAAGAAATATATCCTCATTGAAAAAAGATAAAAACCAGGAAACGCCATTTGCTTTATTATGCAGTGTGTTAAAACAATGTGTTTGTGTGTGTGTGTGTGCGTGCGTGTGTGTGTGTGTGTGTGTGTGTGTGTGTGTGTGTGTAGAAGCCACTGGTCACAGTTAAAAGCTGGGCCCAGGAATAACTGGTTTTCTGGAGTCAAAACTATTCAGTTACAGAAATTGAATAATAAAATCAAAATAACATTGTATAGTCTTTATTGTATAAATAATTCAGTTAAAGTATTATTCTTTAAAGTCACAAATTAACTTTTTGTGCCAAAACGTTTTAAACTCTTATGACATTGCCTTAAGAAACACATTCAAATTATAAACTTTCACTCTGTTATGCTTATACTTTGCAAAGACTCCACAAATCTCATTTATTCTCAACTGTTGTGCTGATCAACTATAATAACAACTCAACATTGCAGATCCTGCGATGTGACTATTGCAGACACACACATAGAGATATAAACGCTGAAACAATATATTGTGCAGCCCTACTTCAATGCAGTTTACTTTTGGGTTAAAAATAAATGCCATTGGGTCAGACTCAGGTCTAATTTGATTGACTTTGTCTTGGGTCAAGATTTCCTTCTTTCATTTCTGTAGATTGGGTTCAGTGAGTAGTGATTTGGGAACAGATTTTAGGCTCTAAACTACAATTACATCTCACCCGTTTATCAGGCTTCAGCCAGGCATATGTGTCTTTTACTGTGTATCGAAGACCAAAAAACCACGTTTCCCTCAGGCCAATGGTCCGGCATACCAGGTCAAATAAATCTTTCCCTTTCCATTTGACCTAGAAGTTATAGACAAACATTAAACTTTGTAGGACATTTTAGGACACAGAATCAGACAGACACATGTATTAAGTATTTCCATACGTTTACCTCACAACTAAACTCCATTTCAGCATCCATAGTGCTGACTTTGACTTTAAAAGTCTTTGGTTGCTTCTTTTTCAGACCCAAAATTGACATAGTGACTTTATATACACCTGAAAACACAAATAATTACTTTAATACCTCAATATAGTAAAGTATATTTAGCATTTAACAAAATGAAGCTAACATTCATTTACTTAAATATATATCTAAAAACTAAAACAAAGTGCATCAATACATACATAAAAAGATAATTTAGACATTTTAAAAAGTCTATCAGAGCTTTAATTAGAAAATTACTTCAACTTATTCCTTCCCTTATTATGCATCATTATTATCATCATTTATCTAACGTACTAGTGCTACTATCACAAGGCAGATGAATGAAGTCAGCCACAGGTAAGTCGCATTCACGAGTACTTTACGCAAAGTGCTGTAACTTAACAACTGTAACAATGCCCACTCTCCTTAAAATAAACACATTGTTAGTTTTCAACCTTTATAAGTAAGATATAACACAATCTGCCTTGTTATATCGAGCGAGAATGTAGAAAGCGACTCACAAAGCTTAACGTTAACGTTACATCCTGGCTAACGTGACAGAAAGTAAGCTGGCAAATTTACTCCCTTTACAGCGACACAGTATACGTTTAAACGATAAGTATAATCCATTCTGAACACTGTTAAAAATATGTGAATGAAACTAGCCAAATATCAGTCAGTTACCTTGATTAGGTTATGTGTTAAACCAGGCCCGATCCACAGCAAGGAGTTTCCAGGCACTCCGCTAAACCACAACAATGCAAACCGGATTTCGTCGGTCACCTACATGGAAATGGTTGTAAGCTTGTCCGAAACTGTAGAAATCGTTTAAAGAGTGTCCATTTTGGTAATAAACTATTAACTGGACGATTGTGGAATATAAATACGATGTTATCTTGAGTAGAAAATGTTGGATAGGGAGTTAGCAGGACTTTGTTGTTGGTTTTCTTTGCCGCCCTCTTCCTGCTGGATGGAGAAGAGCAGTTGAGGAATGTTCATGACGGTGTGTATACAGTGATTTATGTCACTCTTTCTATGCTCAATAAGATCAATTAACGTCATTTATTATGTAAGTGTTAAATGTTTTATTTTGTTTAATTTATTATATTGGTTTGTTTTGTAATATCATGCTGTTTTATATCAAGTATTGTACAGTCAACTACACAACACAATTACTGCTAATTTAGCCCTCTGAAGTTGTTGTGATTTAGTTTATTTTATTGGTCTATTATGTAATATCATTCTGTTGCAAGTATTGTATGTACAGACCATTTTGAAGGATGTAAACAAAAACAATGTGCCCTTTGCATTTCCTGTTTTGCATTTTTAATTTCTATAGCTTCGGAGAATCCAAAAAGAGCCACATATGAATAAATAATGTTATGATAGCTGTTTTAATATTAAGTTATGATTGAATTGCCTCTTTACATTTCTGATATAATTTGATAACAAGCAGGAACTGTTCACGGGCCAATGATATGACCACATTGAAATGATCTATAACAGTTACTATTTTAGCCCTTTGATATTATTAGAGTGGTTTGTAAAATGAGTGTAAAATTGTAAAAAGTTTTTATTTTAGTGAAATGACTGTACTGTATTTTGTATTATCTGTAAAAAAAAATCTGTAAATCTGTATTTTGTTTTATATTTTGTACCAATAAGGGAGTTTATGCTTTTTTTAATAATAAATTTCCAACTTTTAAACAGCAACTTCCAAAATATTTATTTATTTATTTATTTATTATATTTTCAGATAAGACACTTGGTAAATTATTGCTTAGTTATAAAAAGTTTTATTTAGTTTTAGAGTAAATCATGATTTATTTACACACACACACACACACACACACACACACACATAGCCAAAATAAAGCAAATAAGACTTTCTCCAGAAGAAAAAATATCAAACATACTGTGAAAATTTCCTTGCTCTGTTAACTTCATTTGGAAAATATAAAAAATCAAAGGAGGGCTAATAATTCTGACTTCAACTGTATGTATGAATATATAATTTACTCTAATGCTAAATAAAACTACTTTTTTTTTAAATACTCTTTTAAAATATTTTGGTTGAGTGCAGTGCCAATTTATTCCACTCGATGAAATGTCATGTACTGCATAGCAATGGTCTCAAACTCAATTCCTGGAGGGCCGCAGCTCTGCATAGTCCCAACCACCTCCAACTCACACCTGCTTAGTTTCTAGTAGTCTTGAACACCTTGGTTAGTAGGATCAGCGGTGTTTGATTAGGGTTGGAGCAAAACTGTGCAGAGACCATTGCTGTATAGTATCTGCACATAACTACATATTATAATAAAATGTCTGTAAAATGCTTCTAAAATTATCTGTAAGATATTGTCCTATAGATAGACCATTTCAATATGACAATACCATTAGTCCATAAACAGTTCCTGCTTGTCCTAAAACTTTTTCATAACTGAAACAAGAGGTGTCATAACGTTAACACAGCTGTCATTAAAATTGTATTAACATGTGAAGCTTTCTGGTTCTCAGAATCTTTTGAAATGAAAGATCTAAAACAGAAAATACATTTGGACTATTGTTATTGTTTACATCCCTCAAAATGGTAAATAATGTTTCATTTCCCCTGAAGGATGGCAAACACCAGCCGGACCTTTTCTGATGTTAGGAATGTGATTCTGTCGGCTCATAAAAACACAGAGGCCCAGGATAAGGTGGGCTTCTATGACACCTGGGCTGATAACTATGAGCAGGTAAACTTTAGGCTGCAAGAATTTCTTCCTTTTTCAGAAAAGCTATTTCAATTCTAATGTTTTTTTTCTCAGGATGTAGCTGTGCTGGATTACAGAGCCCCGTTGCTGGCAGCCGAGTGTGTGAGCTCGTTTTTCAACGATGACAGAGAGAAGGCCACTGTTCTGGATGTGGCCTGTGGAACAGGACTGGTCTCCAAACACGTAAGTATTGCTTCATTTGGATTCTGAGCCTGCAATGAGCCTCCTAAATCAAAGAGTAGTGTGATTTTATTTTCTCAATTGATAATTCTTCGAGGAAAGTTGAAGAGAATGGGGTTTCGTCACTTCGATGGAGTAGATGGAAGTCTGAGGATGCTGGAGGGGGCAAAGAAAACAGGACTTTATAAGCAGCTTATGCATTGCATGCTGGGTCAAGACAGAATTCCTGTTAAAGCCGGTAACGAACCATACCATGCTGGAATGTTTTTGACGTTTACTGTCAAAGTTTAACTGAATAATCTAGGTTTTCTTATCAGAATTGTATGTTTGGATCTCATTTTTTCAGTTTATGGCTGTTGTAATAATGATAACCAGTTAGAGAGTTGTCACTAGAAATGCTGGTTTAGTGATTAGGATATTCTCAACAAAATATACTGCACATTTTAAGTAGTTCTAAACAAATAATCCTAACTACAAAACAGCACTTTCTGCTGATGATCTTTATGTTGATAAGCTCTGTTTGATTATGTTTTCTCTTTTGTCTCAGAAACGTATGATGTTGTTATAATTGTTGGAGCTCTAAGTGTTGGACAGGTGCCCTTGAAAGTCATTAGAGAGCTCTGGGATGCTACAAAACCAGGTACCATGTAAATTTCACAAGAATAATCATTGTTACATGCATTTGAGTTAAGGACTAAAAATGGGTTTCAAGCATTATAACTGTAACAGTCCAATGCAATATCATAGATTCTATCATAGATTTTACCATGATTTACAGAAGACATCCACTAAAATGTCATTCAAATCAACCATTGGCAACTTATATATCAACAGATCTCGTCAGAGATATTTAGCAAATTAGTAAATGACATATTGATACACTCTTATTTAATGATCAGACCCCAGTCCCAAAAATACTAATGAATTGTTGTTGCTGTTTTAAATCTTTTTACTTTGCCAATATTATTCAACCCACCATGTTATATATCAGTTTTTAAATGATTTAAAATATGATTTAGGATGATCCCTTTTGTCATTATAAACCATTTTTTCAAATAATATAATTTTGTTAAGACTGTTAAGTCAGAATTTTCCAGAAATAAATCAGTTATGCAATGGAGCATTATTTCACCCATCATTTTTTTCTTCAAAGATAATTTGAATTATAAAAAGTAGATTCATTGGATTTACAATTTTTTAGGTATATGTGCTAAATTAAAACTAGCAAAAAAAGTTGTTCAGCTAAATTTATTTGTTTAAATTCAACCCATATACATTTTTGCAACCATGTACCTTAAAAAAAAAGAATCAATCCAAGGAATCATTTTATTCAGTGTTTTTAATTTGATGCAGACATCCAAATGGGGCATCTTGCTTTCTAATACACAACAGACCCATGTCCAGCCTGGGAAATATTTATCTTTGCGCTTTATATATATTGTGATAACACAAGGAAACATGCTTATCTGGGAATGTGGAGGAGAATGGCTGCTAAAATAAAATCCACTGACTTCTTTGCTAAATAATTATCAGCTAAATACCTTAAATAGTCCAGCGTTTACCGAACATTACCTCAACTTTTGATGGTTTAACTAAACACCACATTTGGCCACTACTGTGCACGTTTAGTATTATTATTAGGAAATTTTTATAAAGGCATAGTTCAACCAATAATGATCATTCTGTCATCATTTACTCATCTTTCACTTTTCTTCGGTTCAACAAAATCAGATAGTTTGAAAAAAAAATGCTGGTTGCCGAAGAGGGGTCTGGCTGCAGGTTCAGTGCAGATGCAATCTGAGCTGCATCCAATGTTTTTTTATTGCGCTCACCTAACACTACCCCTCACAGTGACGTCACTAGCTCCATTAAGTGCATTAATTGTGTCTAACATTGAATTTCTGAGTGATGCAATCTCAGCTTGCATCATAAAGGATGCATCCAGATACTATTGGGTTGCTGGGACCAAGGGCGTAGAATTGGCATGAACGGAGGGGGCATGTCCCCTGTAATATCCACCAATTACTGAAATGTCCCCACCAATAATTTAACCATCTTCAAAATAAAATATTGCTATCAACCTTTAGTACCCTAGATTTGCTCAAAGGGATAAATCCAAAGACATATAAAAGATAACAGGTGATAAATTGGTTAGGTTGTGTCACATAGCTATCTATATTTCTATACATTCATACCTCCTCAAAGCCATACTACAGTAAAATCATAAATTGACATTAGCAGCATATAGGACGTGCTTCATTAATTGTTATTTTTATTATTAAGTGTTTAAATGTTTTTAAAAGCACAAAATATAATTTGTGCTGTTCAATACATTCTACTCAAGGGATCTACGTCCCCACCAATATCAAGAGCAAATCTACACCCTTGGCTGGGACCCATTGACATCCATAGTATTTTTTTCCTATAATGAAGTCAATGAGTCCCAGTAGTAACAAGCATTTCTTTTTTGTGTTCAACAGAAGAAAGAAATTCATAATGGTTTAAAATTACATGAGGGAGTGTAAATAATGATGTAATTTTACTTTTTGGGTGAACTATGCCTTTAAGTGCTCTCAAGTTTGTATTTTTGAAAGGGTGTAATTAAGGTGAGTGATTTTCAGTTATCTTCCCTAAACCCATTATTCTCTGATACAGGCGGTTATGTGTGCATGACTACAAGAGCCAACACTGATAACCAAAAGTACAAGGCTGAATTGGAGCAAATGATCAAAGCATTGGAAGAAGAGCAGAAATGGAGAAGTGTGGCTGTTGTTGAGGTGGAGGAGTGGGAGAGAGGCGTATCAGAACTGGACACCGGGTACATTCCAGGAGCCGTTTATCTGTATCAGAAAGGGTTTTTATAATTTTATGAGCACATGATTGCAACCAAACACTAAAACTTTTTAAAGGAATTCATAATCCACCAGCAGGTGGCGGTAGTTAATCAGAAACTGGACGACCACTTGTTTATTTTTGAAAGTTCTTTTGCTCCCCAGAGAAGCGCCTGAAATGTCAAAACCTGATCCATTAGTTTAACACACAACTATTTTCACTTCATAAACACTGAAACACACTGGGTACATTTAAATATACATTTGTTCAGCCGAAGTGTATGAACCTAAAGGAATTTGTGAGAAATGTCTCAGGTGTATTATTACAAAGCTTTCGATCCCAGTTACATCTAACCTTTCAGTTTGCCACTCCTCGATACTCCGACCACAATTTTTTTTTGGAGCCGCCATTTGCATTTGTGTCAAGTAAGTGACGTAAATAAACGAGAATCTGTTTCATCTTATTGACCGCAATTTCAATATCCAATTTGAAGATTTGTATTATAAATAAACACACTCCAAAAGTTTACACAGTTTAAAAATAATTTATTAGCTTGCATTTCCGGAAACATGCAGCATCACAGTGTTTTCATTAAACAGACATTATAATGGCATAAAAGTATTCAGGAAGTGTTGTATTTATACTTTATAAACTTTTGTAGCTAATCAATTTATTTTAAACGAAACTGTTGAATATTGCTAACTTTTGTCTAAACAAGTAGCCTCATTACAGCACACTCCATTGAACTCTTTTTAAATGCTCTTTGTACTGACAAAATGCAAAGCGCTATTACGAGGTGATACTCTCTGTTGAACCGGTTTTGCCTGGATCTGCCGTTTCACTGAGGGCTCGAATTGACGTAGAAGAAAGGCTAACAAAGAAGAGAGTGTACTTTTCCCTCCCTTGTAAAATCTGAACCAAACCATTGTCCAACTATGAAAGACCACCAATGTCGGCAAGGTCATAGCAGTGCTTCATACATCAGAAATGTGTTCATTCTAGTTTCCTAACAGGAAGCAAAACATGAGATTTGAATGAAACAAAAAAATTCTGTATGCTTGTTGAAGAGGCATCAGCTTTTTATGTTACATATAAGAACAAGCTTTTGTAAGTAGCTTACTGATGGCCACATTGTCCATTGAATTTTGTAGGTAACATGAGGCTTATATAAGACACACAATGAAGAATATGAATTACTTCGAGTAGGTGTACACACATACATACTTTTAGAAATGAACTATAATAGCAACAACGATAATCTTGGCTCCTGAGGTTTGAGTGTAGTTCAGTGCAAATTACCTCAGTCAGTTTCCTTATACCTCAAGGACCTCTTAAAGTGCCTCCACTTCTTCAAAAATGCCTAATAATTGACAAGCAATAATTTCAGCCTTCATTAGAATCCTTCATTTTATCAATAATAGCAGTAATTAATAGTGCAATGGCAGATATATGACTGTCCAAGTGCAAGTCTCTTGATCTGCATACTTTTTGCAGTCTCCACAATCAAAAGCATGTCAATGGAGCATCTCTCTTGTTGAGTTGGTCAGTGTATGAAGCCATCATGAAACAGCTGGGACTTTGTTGACATCCCCTCGTCCTGCTCAGACACTAGCATTGATTCAGAACTGGCAAGCTGCGACTTTGTAGGTGTTGGCCTGCTCTGGTTGGAGCCTACTGACTGAGGTCTGCCCTGAATAAAAGGGGCTTTCTGACTCCACTGGGACCTCACAGATGGGGCACCACTCTGAAGTGACCTCACAGAGATTGGATGCATCCTTTGAGAGCCCGGCCTGCTGGATCCTGCCTGCGAAGATCGCACAACCAGATACTTCACCGAAGGACCACGGTCATCCTCTGGTTTGTCTTTACATTTGGAGGTGCAAAGAATTCCTCCACTCAATATGAGGACAATGGCTCCCCCCCAACCAAGATAAATGGCCCCTCCAAGCTCTCTGCGCTGTGGATCCGCTAACTGTGGATTGTAAAACGCCTTTACCACCATGCCAGCCGACCATGAGGGTGGGATCAAGCAGAGAATTCCTGCAATGATTAAAATGGCACCTGCCGCTGTGACAATCTTCATTTTGGATCTTTCGGATCTGATCAGAAAAATGGTGCACTTTCCTCCAATGAAGGTCAAAATGAGGCCCACAGCTCCAACAATGACGGACATAACCATGAGGGCCCGAGAGGCCTGCAGATTCACATCTAGAGCGAGTGTCGATTCATACGGCTTGCACTGGATTTGACCTGTGCTCTGTACCACGCAGTTCATCCAGATGCCTTCCCACATGATCTCTGAGGTGACGATGGTGGTTCCGATGAAGGCTGTCACTCGCCACATTGGCAGGATGCAGCACAGGAGGGCTGCGGTCCATCCCATTAAAGCCAAAGCGCTCGCCAGCATGTGCATGCCGAGGGACGCCATTGTGCCGGGGTTAAACGTCCACAGCTATTTGAGGCCTCTTTGTTTTTCTCAAAGCCTTTTTGAAGGCCTTGTGATGTTTGCTTCCTCGCTCATTGCTGTCTACAGCTCAGCTTTCACTCTCAGGACGATGGTGAGGTGTTTATGTGCTAAAAAAAAGAGAGAATAAGAGAGGAGGTGTGTGCAGTTAAACAGACCATGCCTCCAGTAATTCAAATACTACCAGACTAACCAGATTCCTTCTTCTAGCTCCGGACAATATGGGCGGGTCATGAAAAAGCAGGTAGATAGGCTGCTGGAAATTTGCATTAGATGCTTTGGATGTTTGTGTGATATCAGAGGAAGTTTTGATATCACTTTGTTTCTTTTGTTGTATCCGAGATTTTGAAGACCTTTATATAAGAGCACCAAGTCTCTATTTATTTGTTTAAGTGTTTATAATGGATGTAACAATCTTTTTATACTGTATTTTAAAGGGAAAGCTCAGTCATTTGGAAGAAAACTGTAAACCTGCAACCATTAACTTATGGAGGTCAATATTTGCAGGTTTTATCTTTCTTCGAAATATCTTCTTTTTCTGCTCAACAAAAGAAAGAAAGTCAAACAGGTTTGGCACAATCCCTTTAAAAAGATAATAATAATAAAATTAAAATGGTGCCTTCATATATTCACTTTAATATGATGTTAATGTACAGTTGAATTTAGAATTATTTCTGTTTAACAGTGAGATTTTTTCAACACATTTCTAAACATAATAGTTTTAACAACTCATTTCTAATAACTGATTTATTTTATCTTTGTCATGATGGCAGTAAATAATATTTTACTTGATATTTTTCAAAACACTTTTATACAGCTTAAAGTCGCATTTACAGGCTCAATTATGTAATTTTTAGTTATGCAGGTTAAGGTAATTAAGCAAGTCATTGTATAACAATGGTTTCTTCTGTAGACTATCAAAAAAATATAGCTTAAAGGGGCTAATCATTTTGACCTTAAAATGGTTTTTAAAAAATTTAAAAAACTGCTTTTATTCCACCCAAAATAAAACAAATAAGACTTTCTACAGAAAAAAAAATATTATCAAACTGTGACAATTTCCTTGCTCTGTTCATCATTTGGGAAATATTTAAAAAAAGAAAAACAAAATCAAAAGGGGGCTATTAATTCTTTCAACATAGATATTTAACAATAGTTACGATTAAAGTTCTAAACTAGTCAATTTAATGGCAAACAGGAAAATTGCTCACTTATTTGCTTTGAATGTCTTTCCATGAGTCACTGATTATTTATACAATCTTAGGAGTTCTTAAAATGACGATGAAGCTGCTCATTGCATTTAGGTTTCATACCTAAGTGTTGAAACACTGGTTTTGAGTTAGACACGGTGTGGAAAATACTTGCTGTAAACAATACTGAGGAAAGCCTCTTCTTGATGCCGAAAAAAAATCTTTATGACACATTGTATGTCGCCATTTTCTCGTTTCATGCTTTATTTTACATTTTGCACAGATTATTGTTTTATGATGGGTTTGTCTGTCTGTTCTTTGTTTTTCTGTCTGCAAAAAAATATTCAAAAATATAATTAATTAATTAATATGAAACTTTTTGTGTTCTTTTATGAGCCGTTTTCCTCACGGGCATAAAAAGTATGTCCCCACAAGGTCAAAACGTACTTGCTTTGCTATACTTGTGGGGGCCTCTGGACACACACACACACACACACACACACACACACACACACACACAAAGTAGAAGACAATCAGGATCTTGGGATTTTACTATTTTATGCAAAAAATATATTTATACTTTTTTGCAAAAGAAATGTAATCACAGATGTACAAAGAAAATACATAGTATGATATAATTAATGCTAGATCACCAATCAAATCAGCTGATTTATGACCATATAAATGATGCAGTTTTACAAGCTAAATAACTTTACACTGTAAAAAAAATCCTGGTTGCCTTAAAAAATTTGATTTTAAGCTGAATCAAATTAATATTATGAGTCCATTGAACCTATATTATGTTGAACTGACTTAAAACAGCTTGCATAACTTATCAAATTAAGTTAGAACATTATTAACTTAGCTTAATAAGTTACAATGACCTAAAGCATATGCTGTCAGTACTAAATAATCATTTTTACATTGTACTTTTTAAAGTGAGTAAACCCGTTGCCATAAACCTATTAAAGTAAATGAATTACGTGCATGATTATACAGTTAAACTGTCAGCTTAACCGTTCCAAGTTACAATTGATTACTTGATTATTATTTTTTTCTTTTGGTATACATGACAAAATAATACAGACACATATTACAAATGATCACTGGTAGGCCTACTACATATAAAGCCAGAGTGCATACAATGCTTACTATCAACAAAAGTGCAATATTATAAAGAAAACCTGTTGAGTGATTTTCAATTGTGTTACAAGACGTCGTCACATAAGACCAAAAGTCTTCCCACACTGGGATACAGGGACCTGTGTTTTGTCCTTGTTATTTCATTAATAAAGTAAACATTCACAGGAAGCTGTTTTAGTCATTATATTGTCCCATTATTTTAACTTTGGAGTTTACCAGTTTTTTAAGATGACTCTAGCCGTTACTGAAATCCTCGCCATGATCACTGTGAACTCTCTTTTTGTAATATTTGGCATCTGTTCCCTATTTCCCAGTAAGCTTAACCTTGGTGACAGTGCTAATGTTTTAAGCCATTTACTCAGAATATTTAAGGTTTGATGCCAAAAAGGCTGAACTAGTGAACAGTTCCAAATACAAGGAATAAATGTGCCTCCCTCTTTTGACATTTCTAACGAACATTATTATTTTCCAAGCCCATTCTATTGAGTCGAACAGGTGTGAAGTAAAACCTGTGTAAAATTTTATACTGAGTAAATTAGTTTACTCGATTTTTAAAGTAAAACCAATAATCGCTTTTTACAGTGGAGACATTCATTGAAACAGTTATTGAATATTATTGCATGTAATTCTCAACAAATGTATGTATTTATTTATATACTGTGCTACATCTGATGGTTTTTTCTGTGCAACTAGTAGCCGTTCTACAGCTAAGTGTTTAATCTGAGTCAATATGTCAAAACAGCTGGCATAAGTAGCCAGGGAGGTTTGGGTGGTTTGAAAGACCCATCCCCTTTCCCACAAAGTCCAGGTTTTGACTCCAAACCGAGCACATTTGTCCAATTTTTGACAGTATGCCATCATAAATTGTGAAAATAACCAAGAGAAGAAGACTTTAAGAAGAATAAATAATAAAATAAAGAATGAAAGAAGGTTTTTATTATTTAAATAGGCAATTTATACCTATAGTTATTGGCCTATAGGCAGGGCCAGACAGAATCTGCTGAGATTTTTTGCTATTTCTGGGCAGACTTAAAAATCTGTGGATTTATGCAGAATTAATCTAGGGGTATCATAACTAGTACTTTGCGGGTTGTCAAAGAAAGCGTTACCAATATATGTAATAAAAAAGTAATAGCTTTTAAACTTTTATCTAATGCTTACAATGCAAATCCAATTAGGATCCACTTTACTTGGTAAACAAAGCAAGTCTCACATATATCTACTAAAAGTCAGAAAATATTACTTTACAAACTGTATTGTGAATAAATCATATGAATATTTTCATATTATTCAATAATATTACTGTAATTAATTTGAAAACTGAATAAATATAAATTTAATCACATTTACACAAGTAAATAAACAGAATCAATAATGGGCTAAAAATCTGTGGAATTCTGCATGTGCAGATTTCATGTGGGCCAACCTATAGGCTAAAGTTTTTCATCAAAAACTAGTTTTAACATATTCTTAAGTTTTTGTTGCTTGTTTGTTTTTTTGTTTGTTTTTAATGATGGATGATAATAAATAAGCATTTAAAAATCAGTATTTTTCAATATTTCTAAAAATTCTAATCTCAATACATTACATATAAAACTGTTACAACTTGTGAATAAACATACATTTTTGTAAACAAAAAAATAGTATTATAAGCACTTTGATAAAAATGTAGGAAGTATTTTTGTTGGATCAAAAAATGTGGTAATGAAAAATGTGGTAATGATAACCACCCAACAAGCTAATCCAGCACAAATTAGTGCTTAAAATGTGTTTAAAAATACAGTATTTAAACCTTGAATAACTGTAAAAAGATTTACTTTTAGTAGGCTGGCTACGGGCCTGAGTAAGTACTGATACACAGTATTACAAACAAACATTTGACAGTCTTAAAAACAGCTCTGAAGAATTGGGGGATCCAGAAAAAAACATTTTATCCTCCAAGGAAAAATAGAAACAATCCGGCGTCAAACTGAGTCAGTTGAGTCTTATTAACCCCAAATCTGGTCAACAACATCGGTTGGAGTATGTGCTTAAAAGCAGTCCACCGCCAATAATTAGCAAAAATCCAGCGACCCATCCTATATAGATGCAGGCTCCCAGCTCTCCTTGTGTCCCTGCTATTACTTGAGGATTATAAAAGTTCATGACAATAATAGACGTCTGCCAGCAGACAGCAACAAGGCACATTACACCTCCAACTATATACAATGCGCCAGCTGATATTCCAATGTTGGTCTTTTTAAGTTGATCTTCTCTGTAAAACCGTGTACAATTGGCCCCAACAACCATCATTCCAAAGGCAATTGCACTGACACCGATAGAAGCACAAATCAAACCACGAGCGGCCTGGAGATCTTGAGTCAGTGCCAGAACAGAGTAATACGCCATGCACTGCATGTGGCCAGTGCTTTGCAAGACGCAGTTCATCCACAAGCCTTGCCAGTAGACCTGTGCAGTCACAATGTTCGCTCCGACAAAGGCCGACACTTTCCACATAGGCAAGGCACAAATCAGGATGGTCCCGCACAGGCCAACCAAAGCCAGAAATGCAGCCACGAACTGTCGTGTCCTCATTTTTCATAGAGCGAAGACAAACCATCTGCAATGAAAGGAAGGAAAATGTGGTAGTTGTGCAAGTGAAAGACTATTTACAATGTGAATTCTCTTCCTTGTTGTGCCTCAGGTATTGGTATTTGAAAGCAAAGGGAGGGGAGGAGACCTGTGCTGAGTTTCCTGCTCGACTTGATTTTTCAGCGCTATATGTCCACAAGGATTCATGGACAAAAGACTTTGACCTACTGTATAGTGGGCCGCAATTCAAAACATTACAATCACTAGGTGTTATAGAAAGATCCTCATTTAATAAGGCTAATATCATCCCAAACCAGCAAATAAAGAAAAACCTTTAGGCATGCACTCATTTCTTTTAGAGTGTGTGCTGCTTATTTGATAGCTTCCATAAAATGATCAAAAAGGAATTTAATAAGCAGACCACATTTTATATTAAAGAGCTGGATTTACAATCCCCTCCTCTCTTCTGGTGTGTTAGAATCAGTGTGTGTGTGTTGATGTGTATTGAATGTCTGACCCATTTCAGGAATGCACCAGTGCTCTAGTTTTATAATTAATTAATTTCATGAATCATTCATTAATTACTTTTTCTTTAGTTTAGCTTTTTATTTATCGGGGGTAACCACAGCAGAATGAACCGCCAACTCATCCAGCATATGTTTTACACAGTGGATGCCCTTTCAGCAACAACCCAGTACTGGGAAACACCCACAAACATACACTATGGCCATTTTATTTTATTCAATTCACCCACGCCAACATGGGAAGAACATGCAAACTCCACACACTCTGGCGCTTGAACCAGAGATTTTCTTGAAGTGGAGCAACAGTGCTAACCACTGAGCTACCAGGTCACCCCTATATATAAAGTGTGTTCTCATTAATTTTCATTTAAAAATTCACAGCTGTCAAATTAAAATAACAGTTTTATAGGTTTTATGCTTTAAATTTTGAATTTTGGTTTCCTAAAAGAACCTTTCAATATTTCAAACATGTTGGTCAAAGTCCAAAGTGGATTGTTTTACATGAAATATTACTATTTTGATTTCCACTTTAAAAGAAATTTTGTGGACTTTAATGAGAACAATGATCAACGTTTATTGAACCACTGATGCCAATGGAGCCCTTTCACAAGACTTTTATAAAACGTTTAACGGTCATCATCATGATTTAAAAAAAAAAACATAACATTTATATGCATTTATGTATTATATCATCTTTGGTCTAGTTACAAAAAAAAAGACTCATTAACGCCTATGTGAGGCATTTTTAATGCAGTGTGTAAATTTGATATTTGTCAGTCTCACACTATTCTTTTCCTTTTTCTGAAAGTCTTGATAACAGCATTATAGTGTTTTTCTTTTACTTCAGCAAATATAATTGTAAAAAATAAAATTGTACTTTAACTCTCTGTACTTAACCCAACCATGACGCCTTATACTACTAAGAAACCCAGAAATGTGGAAAGAATGTTTCAATTCTCTAAAGAAGTCTTCAACCATTTTGAAATTTCTTTAGTGCAACCTGAATATTTTGTGGATTTTATAGAACTTAAAACATTAGATGGGATAAAAAGTTGGTTAAAACTCATTGAAATGATTTACTGAATTAAATAATTGAATGAATTGAGTGCCAGTCTGCCCTTTCATATTTTATAATAATAATTATTATTATTATATTTTATTGCAAAATGTTTGTTGCAATATTTAAAATACCTTTTTATCTAACCAGTGGTGTAAAGAAACTAATTACTCAAATGACTGTAATTGAATAGTTTTTTCTCAGGAATTGTAATTTAGTAAGTAGTTTTAAAAAAAAATGTGTTCTTTTACTTTCAGTCCTGCAGTCACTGTTTTATTTTCTCGTCTATGGGGATTAGAAAAATCAGTCATGTGATTCCTGTTCAAACAAATCTCACATAGAAGGTATATCGCCTCATAATGAACTACCTCAAAATAGGGTTGATCAAAAGAAATATATTAATGCAATTCAAATTTATAATATATGAATTGATGTTTACTTTAAAGTTATTATAAATATAGAATTACATTGTTCAATGATGATTAAAATATTTTTGTCAAATAATTTTGTGACTAAGAAGTATCGGTTCAGGCACCGTTTTGATTTAAAAGTATCGATTTAGCACCGGTATTGAAATAATACCCAACCCTATACTTTAAAACATGTGCACTTTATAATTGCAGCAAACTGTTTGGAAGCATTAAAAGTGTACAAGATGGCCAAAATCTATACATGCATCGGACAAAGAGACTGTTAAGATGCATGTCACTGATGAGAAGATGACAGATGTTTACTGTATGATGATCGAAATGGCCTTAAACATCCAGCAGGCACAAGATGTCAGAATAAAGTTGTACCCTAGTGTCATGGGGATGTTGCATTTGGTTTTTCCATGAAAATCATGGAAGTGTCAGCATGTGATCCCAAAATGACATTGGATATTTGCTCGACATTGGATTTGCTCACTTTCCAACATCCAAATATCAATGTAATTTAATGTTATTGAACAAATAACATTGTCCTTAGACCCTGGCTAGACAATCTAACCTAATGGTTATGTCTTATGATGTTGTGTGCCTGCTGGGCAATAACTCGATGCACTACAGAATGTTAAGTTTACACACGTGCACAATGTAAAACCATCAGCTTTTAAAAGCGTAATACTCCATACTCTAAAGGGCTACTTTATTCATACTTTGAGTAATATTGACAACAGATACTCTCTCTATTTAAACTACATTTAGGCAAGTATTAGTATTTTTACTCAAGTATGATTTCAGTACTTACCACGAGAGAGAGAGAGAGAGAGAGAGAGAGAGAGAGAGAGAGAGAGAGAGAGAGAGAGAACAAAAAATAAAACTGCATCCCCTGCCACCTAAATTAATCTGGAGTAAAGACAGTCCTGCCCAGTATGAAGCAGAGCTCCACTACACTCAAGTGGAGAACATGATCAATGCATTCATACTGACTTCATTTGGTAAAGAGGAACAAACTATAAATTTAGCAACCGAACAGCTGACCAATATTTTTTCAACAGTTGCCCAAAAAATATTGAGGAAAAATCTGAAATACAAATCTAAAAAAGGAAAAACTACAGCTGGCTGGTTTGACAAAGAATGTCAAAATACAAGAAAAGAATTAAGACAATTGTCAAATAAAAAACACAGAGATCCGACAAACCAACACACACGAGGAAAATACCAACAAACTCTCCAAATGTATAAATCACTATTAAAAGAAAAGAAAGCTGATCACATGAAGTTAAAATTGGATCAAATTGAGGAGGCTATTGATCAAAATTTGTTTTGGGATTTATGGAAAAGATTAAATCAATCTAAAGAATCGAAACAAATTCCCATTCAAGACCCAAAAATCTGGACCAAACATTTCGAAAAGCTATATTCACAAAAAGAATTGAACCAAAAACAAAAACATCTGACCTCCCAATTACATATATTAGAAAATACTATTAAAGATCAGCTAAACCATTTAGATATCCCAATACAATTAAATGAGTTAACAGAAAAATTAAAAACTCTAAAAAATAAAAAGTCCTGTGCCTCAGATGGAATCTCTAATGAGATGCTAAAACACAGCAGTCCTCAATTAAAAAACGCCATCTTGAAATTATTCAACCTCTTGTTAGAATCAGGACATTTTCCAGAAATTTGGAAGGAGAATTTAATTACGCCAATATTTAAAAATGGTGAGAAATATGACCCAAAAACTATAGGGGCATCACAGTGAGTAGTAACCTGGGGAAATTATTCTGCTCTATCATTAATGATAGACTGGTTGGGTTCATCCAGGAAAACAAGATTTTAAATAATTGTCAGATTGGATTTATGCCTAAAAAAAGAACAGCAGATCACATCTACACACTCCAAACACTCATTCAAAAACATGTCCACCAGACCAAACAAGGGAAAATATTCGGCTGTTTCATTGATTTTAAAAAAGCCTTTGATTCGGTGTGGCACAATGGGCTTTTCCTAATACTCTTACAAAGTGGAGTTGGAGGAAAAACCTATGACATAATAAAGAACATTTATAATGGGAACAAGTGTTGTGTAAAAATAAACAATAAGCGGACTGATTATTTCACTCAGAGTAAAGGAGTCCGTCAAGGCTGCAGTCTCAGCCCGACTCTATTTAACATTTATATCAATGAATTGGCATCAGCACTTGAGAAGTCCTGTAGTCCTGGCCTGAGCCTGGAGGACAGAGAGATCAAATGTCTCCTGTATGCGGATGATCTGCTGCTTCTGTCTCCTCATGAAGAGGGTCTTCACCACAGTCTCTCTATCTTGGTGGAGTTTAGCACAGACTGGGCATTGCCCATTAACATGCAGAAGTCCAAGATCATGATCTTCTGTAAAAAACCTCGTCTGGCTGATAAAAAAAGACACACTTTTAAAATCAGAGGAACAATACTTGACCACGTCACCTCTTATAGCTATTTGGGTCTGACAATCACAGCCTCTGGACACTTCAGTCAAGCTCTAAAAGACTTGACCGCTAAGGCACGCAGGGCTTTTTATTGTATTAAAAAAAACCTTTTTAAGTTTAACCCACCCATTAAACTGTGGCTGAAAATATTTGACACCATTGTAAAGCCAGTCCTGCTGTATGGCTGTGAACTCTGGGGACCCACATTTAAATTAAACTATGAATCTTGGGAAAAAACTCCAGTTGAAATCTTTCATCTGGAGTTTTGCAAAAACATCCTCGGAGTTCACAGAAGCACACCTAGCCTTGGTTGCAGAGCAGAACTAGGCAGGTTCCCTCTGCTCTCAGAAATCCAGAAGAGAGCAGGGAAGTTCTGGCTCCATCTGTCAGACTCCAGCCCAGAGAGCTACCATCAGCAAGCCCTCATATATAGAAATGCACATCCGGCCAGCGACCCCATGCACTATCTGGTGGAAAAACACCAACTAAATTCACAAACCCTGTCCCAACATATAAAGACTAAAGAAATAGAAAAGATTACCCAGGAGGATTATAAACTCAATTGGCAAAATAAAGTACAACAAATAAAAAAGTTAGCGTGCTTCAACCAGATTAAACCTGGTTATGAACTGGCCCCGTATCTGACCAACATTAAGAGCCCCGGTCAGAGAAAGCTGATGAGCCGGTACCGTCTGAGTGGACACAGTCTGAGTGTGGAGACGGGCCGACACAAGCGCAGCTGGAGGAGCCCAGAGCTCAGACTGTGTCCACACTGCCCTGCTGGAGTTGTGGAGGATGAGCTGCATTTCCTCACTCACTGCAGAAAATATCAGAGCATCAGAGAAGCTTACTTCACACAAATGTCTCTGATTCTACCACAATTCCAGCAAGCCACAAATACGGAGAAACTCCATTATATTTTGGGAGAAAATGAAGTGTCTCCACCTAGCAGCACAGTACGTGTCCTCATGCCACCATATGAGAGAAAAAGGCTGAACCCCCTCATCCCTTATTAAAGCTCTCTGTCCTTACCATTTATTATTATATACTT